ACACTTCCCACACTCTTGCAATATTTTAAACAATGTTTCTAAACTCTAAAAGAGCACAGAATGTCATGATTTCAGCTCCCTGCCTCCTGGAGTTGCATTGGGGTCCAAAAAAATCTGACCAGTCGGCCCCAGCCTGTAGCCATAATTTCTGAACCACCCCGGTCGACAAATTAACAGTAATTACAGGTCCGAACCCGAAAAAACCCTGATATTTTAAATTAAGCTTTGACTGTTTATACCACCGACTATTATTAACGGTTGGCAGACATGCGCGGCTGAGTAAGGGCAGAAGATCGGTCTGAATCCGAGTCGGGTGGGGTCAGGCTCCGGGTTCATGTTAGAAATGACAGCTCTACTGCCTCCTCTGCTCTTTGCCACCTTCAAACGCTCTTGGCCACACACATTTCTCCGCTCTGCATGGAGAACAGCTGATCAGCTGCAGCAGGAAGTTTATCCTGCAGTAAGGGCTGCACAAATATGCAGCAGGTGCTAAATAATTAAAAATATATATTTTAAATAAAAATTGTCATGTACTATCTTATTTTGAAAAATCGCGATAGAGCGAATCCGCTATAAATGAACCGCGAAGTAGTGAGGGACTACTGCATGTATAGTGAGGGGTAAATCTGAACTGGATCCTGCCAAAACAAGATCCAGGAACTCCCTTATTTTTGACAGGATGCGTTCTGGTAACTGTTTGCTTGGATTCGGTAACTTTCAGGCTTACTAATAATAAAGTTATGAACAAATATGACTGCCTTGAACTAATAAAACTTATACTGGATATGTAAACTGAACATGACCACTAATTTTAAACACAACAGACACACAACACAACTTCTTAATACCACATGATTATCTGTCCCTTCAAGTGAAGCATTTCTGCCTCTCCCCTTAAAAAAAACCTCTGCCCTAAAAGAGTGGTTGGGGTGAGAGCTGAGGCATGGAGGCAGTCGTACACAGGCAGGGGGAGTCCAAAGACAGCCGCAGGCAGGCCCCTGGAGGTTTCACATGTGGAGTCGGACAACAACAGCAGGGACAGAGCTGGGCTCGACTTACTTGATGGTTCTATCAAGTAAGGTGGTGGTAGTGTGTGTGTGTGTGTGTGTGCGTGTGCGTACGTGTGTGTGTGTGTGTGTGTGTGTGGGGGGG